TAGATGAAATAAGCTATACGCAAAAAGACAAATTCTGTATAACTGCACTTACCTGAAGTACCTAGGCAATCAAAATCATAGCAATAGCGGGGCTGAGGATATAGCTCAGGGGTGTAAGTGCCTGCCTGGCAAGCACAAGGTCATGAGTTTGATCCCCGGTACCACACACACACAAAAAAAAAATCATAGCGATAGAAAGTAGAAATGTGGTTTCCAAGAACAAGGAAAGGAAGAAGAGGGAGTTGTTGTTAATGGGTCTAGAATTTCCATTTTGAAAGATGAAACGAGTTCTAGAAATGGATGGTGATGATGATTACACAGCAATGGGAATGTATTTAATATTACGGAAGTGTACATTTAAAAATCATTAAGATGGTAGCCAGGCAAGCACATACCAGTAATCCCAGAACTCTGGGAGCCTGAGGCAGGAGTGTTACAAGTTTGAGCAAGTTTGGGTAACTGAGCAACTTAGGGAGGAACTGTCTCAAAATAAAAAGAGGTGTGGATACAGCTCAGTGAGAAGGTCCTGGGTTCCATCTCAAATATCACACAAAAAAGGTTAAGATGGCTTATATTAATGTTATTTTATGTTAATGATGAGAAATTGAAAAAATAATAGTACAGCAGATACCATGAATATTATTGCTTAGGATAAAGTAGATGCTATTATGCCTATGACCATTTTTACATTACATACACAGGAACATGCATATACAATTGGTGATGTACTGGGTGTATTCTGCTGTTGTCTCTAATCAGCACATACAGGAAGAGATCACCCTTCTAGAGGCTGTGCAGAACCCTATAAATGGCCTCAGCCAATCCCATAGTGATGAACATTTAGGCTGTCTCCATTTCCTTCCTTTTACAGATACTGCTCATTATATTAAATAAACACATGAAGTAACTGTGAGAATGATGGATATATGAGAACTTTAGGAAATACATAGTCTGTTCTGAGCCCAGATAGAAGGTGTCTCAGCTACCCACACAACAGCCCCCAGCCTCACCCATCACATGCATCTGGACGCTGCAGTGGTACGTCCCCTGCAGTCCCGGAGGGCTAAATCCAGTACCCTGTGAAGTTTGTGCGTATCTGGCAGCATCAGGGGTTCAGGGTCGTAAATCCTGAGGTTCATAAGCACCCTGTGCATATCTCTGGCTTTAGCCTGTCAGTCTCAGCGTTAGGCTGTGAGTGCTTCTGGAAGACTCTCAGCATTTTGCTTTGGGGAAAGAGTTGTAGAGGAGTCCCTTCCATGGAGCACTTCCCACTCTGTGCTCTGCAAAACGTTCCATAGACTTTATGCACAGAAGCCTTCCAACTTCAAATCAAGCTGGCTTCCTATACTACTTTCTCCAGATCACAGTGTCTGGCTCAGTAATATTAAATATATCCCCATCTGTTGTTGAAGATGGCAAAAATACTATTAAGCAGCAGCTAACATTTGTCAAGGGCTTACTCTGTGCCAGGTGTTACTGCACAGGTCTTACAGATGTGATTTTATTTAATACTCCAACAGAGGAGGCTTGTGGACATGAAGGCAACTTGCTCAAAGTCTGGGCTTTCCAGAAGAGACTATGGGGAGCAGATGAAGTGAGAAGAAAGGGAATTAACTACTTATCTTCCTGCTTGACGTGGGGCTTCTTAAGCATTAAAGGGCAGATTGTCAGCTGGTCATCTTGACAAGAAACAGAGATTAACTCTGTAGGTCTTGCATGGGGCCTGAGACGTGGCATTTCTAACAGCAGTGTACTGGGACCACTGGGGTGCAGACCAGGCTGCAAGTGGGGAGACACTAACGCACCTGTATATTTTCTCCTGACCTTGGAGTAGAATTCATTTATCTGCTCCTTCAGTCTCCATCATCTGTAACATTGGGAACCAGGTTCCAAGTTGCAATCCTGCTTCTGCATTTTTCTCCGTGGCTGACTTCTCAGAGCCTCAGCCACCTAGTCTGTAAAATGGGAACAAAACTTGCATTTTGTAGCATCTTTGCATCAGTTGCAAGAAAATGTGGCAAGAGGCTAACACAAGGCCTAGAACATAGTGCTTGCTCAATAAATGGCTATGATTTGGGAACTTATTACTCCTATTTGCACATTTCAACTGAGATTCCCATATGATTCCCATACATTTATTTATTTATTATTTCAGCAATGGTTTCCTCATGGCCCTGATGGTCACAGTGCTGGTTGCTGGTCCCCAGTTACCACTGGGAGGCTGAGGAAATGGCACCAACTGAGATGTGACTTCTAATCATGTCAGCAGAAGCTACAGGGAACCTGGTGGAGAGACAGGTCCCAGGGATGAGCCTGGCAGAGGATTCTGCCAGAAAGGAGTGAGAGATATTGTGAGGGGAAGAGGGAGCTAGCTCGCGAGCCTAGACTAGGGTAGTGTCAACAGATCACAAGCTGTTAATTATCTGGAGAGAACTAAATATTATGTAGGCAATTATCGACAGGCGTCTGAAAGCAACAATAGGAGAATTGGTCCCCAGCTGAATTCTAGTTCCTTTCCAAGAAGGGCTGGGGAAACCAGACTTTAACATTCAGAGCAGGCATTTTTATATCGGAGGACAGCGAGGGGCCCAGGGCCCCCAGGGAGACAGGGTGGGCAGGGGTTCCCTTTCCCCACCTATCCAGCCACCCTAACCAAGCACACAGCGCTTTGCTTTGAAAGGGGCTTTATCCTCAGCTCCAGGCCTGGAAACCGCAGCCCCTCCCCTCTCCCCTCCCCCAAGATGTCATCTTTTGAGACCATTTCATGTGGAAGCATCGCTAAGTAAATTCGCTAAATGCCTATTCATCCTCGTCAGATGGGGACTCAGTGAAGCGGCAAATGTGAAAAGAGCCCCAGTCAAGGCCCTGAATGATGCTTTCTGGAGTTGCCAAATGGAGCCCACAGGGCTGACCCTGGGAGGCCTGAGCTTCACAGAGGGGGCCCAGGAGCCTGGCTCGGCCCCTTCAGTCCTCCCACCAAGGCTGCTTGAGAGGCCCCTGTTTATTATTCCTGCTGCTGGGACCCATTCAGAGGTTAACTTGTCCTGTATTCATCAGGATGACAATAATGAACTGTTGCAGTGAGTGGTGCGGGGGTTGGTAAGTAAGAGCTGCTGAGACGCAGAGAGGGAGGGCCCACTTTACGGCTAGGAAAGAGGCGTGGCTTGGATTTTTCTGATGGGCTGATTTCGTTGCCACTTCTTCCAGTGGCTCCTCAAAGACCCTCTTTCTGCAGACTATGGGTACCTAGAGGTGCACTCTACCCGCTGGGCACATTGGGCTTGGTCCCCGCAGGGGAAGCCTCCTTGTGCAGACATGTGGGCTTAACCTTTGCGTGTGTCCCTGGGATTCACCTCTGTGCAGAGCTGTGCCGAACACCACCCGGCTTCTTACACGTGCAATGGGTTTAGCTCACTGCGGATGCACAGGGTCCTCGGGCATCTGCTGCCACCAGGAGCACAGCCACTTTGGATTGGTGCTTATTCAGTAATAGAATGGGACGTCAGCTGCACTCGTTTTCACTGCAGCATCACTCAACTGCTTCGTGTCCCCTCCCCACACACCAGAATTATGAGTTGGTCAACATGAGCCAACCATCCAGTGAGAGACCGGGCTCCGAGTGGCGAGACTGCAGAGTCACAGGGAAATGGAGGAGGAGGCCAGAGAGTAGGCAGATGGAGCAGGGCAGCATGCATTTATTATGCACCTACTGTGTGCCCTTTAAGTCCACACAGTTTTCCCTTTAGTATACGTGCATGGAAAACCTACTGTACGTGCGTGGCTTGTTTAACTAACAGCCAGGGAAGCTCAGAGAAGGCCACCATTCAGAGAGGGTGAATGACTTCTTAGGCACACGGTGACTTTAGCAGTGCAGCTGGTTTCTGGAGCTCAGGCATCACTTTGTAAGGCACTGTCCTGCTTTGCTTCTCAAAAGCCCAGCCTCCTTTATACTCCCAGAGAGGTTCTTCTCCACCCCACCCCCTTGCCAGCTTCCCCCAATTTGCAACAATGGTTAACCCCTTCTTGCTGAGGAAACCCCCTGACAGAGCTGCCCGGTGATAAAGGAGCTGTCACATCAGCACCATTTACCTGTTTGGGTTTATTCAGCGGAAGAGGCAACTGCGTCCTGGCAGATGGAGGCTTGTGTGACTGCCTTTTAAAATACTGTCACAGCTGTATGCACAAGCTGATTAGCTGTGACTGCACTGCTAGTGCCGAGATTGATGGCGATAAATTTGGGATAACAATGCCGGGAACGATGTCACCGTTTGCTTTGCACTTCATATTTTTAAAGCTCTCTCAATCAGTAGCCCAGTGGTTATTGAGGACTCGGTAGTCACTCACTCATTCCTCGCTCGGACTGCACTTGCAGGAATCAGTTCAAGCCCAGCTCACAGTGAGTCATCCACTTACTCAGCACACATTCACATAGCTCCTCTTACGTGCCAGTGAGCTCTGTCCTCCTGGAGCTCACACTGGAACACAACCAAGTGCATTCTGGGGGGTGACAAAACAGTAAACAGGGTGGTGTGCTGTGGTGGGGGCACCACTTTAGAAAAGGCCTCTATCAAGAAGTGACATGTGAAAGGAGCTCTGGATACAAGAACAGGCAGGCAATGGGAAGGCTAGGGCAAAATTCCCAGGCATAGTTAGTGCAAGAAACCTGAAGTTGTTCTGTGTTTGGCCTTGGGCTACCTGATGACCTTCTGTTCACCAAGCCGTATGGGACATTAGAGAGTCCGAAAGCTGTAAAATGCTGTTTGTCCTCAAGGACTTCAGTGGGGGTACCTGGGAGGGAAGTATGCCAAGAGTCCATTTTCGTGTAGGGGGAAGGACCGGGGGTGGGGAAACCCATGAAAAAGGCACCTTAGCTGTGTGGTGGTCAGGAAAGCAGGTCAAGCAGAGTCACACTAAGAGCAAATCCTGGCGTCCGTGGCAGAGTTGGGAGTGAAGACCCAAAGTCTCCACAGTCTCTGACACTCCTCTGTTTGTTTCCATAGGACGAATGACCAGCTGGTCGCCTTTCTCTCCCGATATCGAGATATGAACTTCTTGAAGTCACACGGCCGGGACAATGCAAGGTAACATATCACTCCCCTCCTCTGTGCAAAACATAAATGCAAAATCTGAGCAGTAATTTGAGGGCTTCCTTCCAGGCCAATTCTATGCAAGAAGAGAAAAGTGGAGGGTGGGAGGAAGACACAAGGCATTATATCTAAATGGCCTCTCTTGGCATCCAAAGACAGGGAAATAAGTGCTTGTTTCTCATAGTGTTGTGGCCCACACACCCCCAAGCACTGTCTTGAGTCCATCGTCTCACTAGGGCAGCCCTTTGATTAAAGCAGCCATGGTTTAATTCCCATTTTCTTGTTGGAGAAACAGAGGCCCCCCCCATCTAAGTGCTAGCCCCAGAGCATTCCATCAGCCAGTCATGCAACAAATAATATATTTATCAAGTACTAACTGCATGCCAGGCAGTTTTACTGATGAACAAAAACCGCTCCAGGCTCTCAGGAAATTTACTTTCCAGTGGAAGAAATCAACACTGAGTTGAACTCAATAGTCTGACCATCCTGCCCATTGCTTCTCTGTTGAAGAGGTCAGCAAGGAATGGGAAGCACCTAAAACCCCAAAATGGATCCATGACCTCTCTCACTTAAAATGAGCAGTGTCAAAAATAGCAGCTCCTCATGGCGGAGATCAGCTAGAGACAATTCAGTCTTGAGCACCCCTGTAGGAGGGATCTTAGTTTTCCCCATATTGAACTCAGCACACCCCAAAGCTCGTGGGATCATTGTAACTTGTTAATGGGCTGTGTTTGGCCCTTTTGGCGTTTTATTTTAGTACAGGTGTTTCATTGGAAAATTGATAGCCCTGTTTAAATAAGAAATGTTTCCCATGAAAATCCAGACTTCCTGCTAGTCTTGAGAAGTTGAAAGATCCATGGCCCTGTGCCTGAGTTTTCTCCTGGCACAGTCACATGGGTCTTAGACAAAGCCCACCTTCACCAGGTTACGGTGGTCCTCACCTGTTCCCTTCCCAACCTGGTCCCCTTCAAAATATCAGTTTGAAATCTGTGGTTTAGATTTTCTCTTCCATTGCTGGAGAATTCATGTTTTGGCTGTATCTGTGACTCGCTTTACCTAGTAGTCCTAAGAGGGGAACAACAGCAAACAGTCAATTCCATATCCCAAGCCTTTGACAAGCCATCCCCTAACCCTTGCATTGTATCACTTTTCTAAATTGTACCTTAGATTTCATCCAGCTACCTGTGTGTAGATTGGCATTGCCTCATCTTGTTTAAAAGGAGCTTCTGGAACTGAAGATGCTGCACAGATTAGCACAGATAAGTGTGGCATGTTCAGGTCACAAAGGGTAGAAAAGCTGACTGGATGAACTGGAAGAAAGGGGCTCTTTCCCAGGATGCAGCTTTGTTTTCCTATTAAGTGCCCATCACTCTGCCAGCCCCTTGGCCCATTTCATACAAGATCCAATTTCATTCAGTGGAACAAGATTTATTATCTCGGGGCTGGGGGTGTAGCTCAGTGGTAGAGCACCAGCTCCGCATGCATGAGGCTGTTGGTTCTATCCCTAGCACTGAAAAAAGAGATTTGGAGAGACCAAAATAATTTTCCCTGAGGTCATACAGCTGGTTACATACTAGAATTTTAATCCAGGTCTTTCTGGCCCAAAAGCCATAGGATCAAGGTAGGACAGGGCACAGTTATGTGAAGATGGCTGGTTATCAGAAGTAACCCCAGTGTTAGTTTTCCCCTCCTTTAGGTAGAGAATGAAAACCCCTCCTCCCCCGCACAAAGGCAATAGTATGTGGTTGTGGAAACAAAGCTACATCCTGGGAAAGAGCCGCATTCTAAACTTTCTGACCTGCAGCTGACTTCCACCCACCCTGGTGTTGTTGTCTGCACCTATTCAATATTTATTCCCTGTGCATTGCCTGCCAGGAGATCTGCTATGAACTACATACAGCACAGGTTCAAATAATGGGCTTAAAGATTCCACCTTCTGGGTCAGAATCCTTATTTACTATGTCCTAGCTGTGTTGCTTTAGACAGGTGACTTAACTTTATTGAACCTGTTCCCTTAGTACAAGTGGAAAGATCAATAAACCTACATTCATGATATTGTTTGGAGAATTAAATGAGATGTTACCTGTGAAATATTTGGCACAATAAATACCCATGATATGATGATGATGATGATGACGATGATGATGATGGTGTCAGTGATGAGGTCATCAGCATGATAATTATAGAACTAACACGTTAGTGGTAGGAAAAGAAATAGGTGGTGGTGTATGAGCTACAGTGGTGCCTCTGGGTGTGTGACTAGGTCCTGTAGAATTGACACACATCTGTTGCTGGCAGATGATACCTAAATGGCATGGAACAAGGGAAAGGTGCAGGCAAGGAGATGCTGCTTGTGCCTGCCCCCACAAAACCCCACACGCAAAGATCTCTGAACAGAATTGCTCCCAAGTTCCAGTGCTCACTCACGAATCCTCTCCTTGGTTGTCTCCTTTACATGAATTGAGACAGTGATGTTCAGTATTAATTAATAGCAAAACCAGCCAACATGCTGTCATCTGCTGCTCTCTCCTCTGTTAGCAGCAGCCTAACTTGCTGCATGAGCAATAATACCCACTACCTATTCTCCCAAGTGTAGGGCTGGGCTGGCTTAGCTATGGTCCCTAACTGTTGGTGCCTTAGAAGAAATTGTTTTGGTGGAAAATGAAATAAACCCAGTTCACACTAGCTGATAGGTAAAGAAGTTATTGGATCAGGTAACTAAAACATTGGTTTTGACTTCAGGTATGGCGGGATCAAGCAGCTTAAATGACATCAACAAGCCGAGACTCATGATGATGATGTTGATGATGATGGTGGTGGTAGTGGTGGTGGCGCTGGTAGTGGTTTAATTCTGTTGCTCTTAGTGGTGACTGTTGGCAACTTAATGAGTCACACCATTTTACAGATAAAGAAACAGAATAGAGAGATGAAGTAACTTGGTTAAGCTCACATGGCTAGAGCAGGGCTGGGACTGAGGCCCATGTGAGGTGGCCAGAGTTGAAGATCATAATTCCTGCCTGGTGTGGTCTCTCTGCGTGTGAGCCCTGCTCTCCTCCACTGTGCTGCATGATTGTGAGGCAGCCACTCTGCTCCTCTGGGCTTCACTTTCTCCCTTTGAAGAACAGTTCTGTTTAACAAGGTGGTCCACAAAGTCCCCTTCCATGCAGATGTTCTGTGTCTCTGGACCAGGCCTTGTAAGAGGAAGTGACCAAGGCAGGGAGCCTGGAAGACACAAAGATAAGGAGTAAAAAAGAAAGCAGCGGGACACAGACCCCTCCCCTGTAAACTAGGAATGATGCTAATCATTCCAACCGTGTAGAGTTGTTCCAAGAAGTAGCTGAGTCAACCTCAGCCTTGGGACAGGTGACTGTACATAGGAAGCAGAGGGTGGTGGAGAAGCATCTTAAAGGTAATGGATGAGTGACTACAGTGCTGAGGGGAGCAGCAAGGCCTCCCAGTGTGAGCAGCTTGGCCAGGTCAGAGACAGGACAGGACCCAGCTCCCGGTCAGAGTGGCATACGGAAGCTTCTCCCTCTTCTCCAGTCTGGGCCCCACCTGCTAGAGACTGCAGCGTCCCTAACTGGGCATCAGAATGGCACCAAGCAGCTTTAGCAGCTTCCCTTCTCTGACACTGAACTAATCCTGACCTGCTCCCCTTGCTGTGTAAACAGACAGCTATTTATCCAAAAGTTGGCAGACCCATGGAGGTCCTGGCCAGGAACCTCTTCCAGGCACATGTGCTGTCAGGAGGCCTTTTGGTGCCAACTTTCTTCTCAAGAGATGATCTCTGTCCCCTACTGACTCAAAGCACCAGGGTAGATGTGAGCGGATCATTAAGATCTCGTCTCCAGCAGGGACAACAGATTGCATCTCCCTTCTCAGCTCCTTAAACCTGATTGGCACGTTTATCACTGGGTACATGTTCACTTTATGGTAACTGCATCACAAAAGGTCTTAGCATGCTACAGGCACACACTGTCCCTCAGCCTCAGCTTGAGTCATGGGGTCCACTCTGGAACTTTCCTTTTCTCAGACAACATGTATAGAAGTCAGATAATACACTAGAAAGAAACTATGTTCCCAGCGTTGTCTCTGAGAAGTACAATATAATTTTTATTTTCTTCTTTGCATTTTGTTATGTTCCAAGCCTTTGGTGAAGGACATGCATTACATTTATAATCAGAACAAAAAGCCGCAAACATGGTTTTTGAGAGCTACATGAAATGTAGAAAACCAGTTAGCCCTTTACAGACTTTTAGACTCTTGGAGGTGTAAGCAAAAGGAGGCCCTTGAGCTCAGGGACCCTCTAATCCCAGGGACTCAAGGCCCAGGACTCAGGCCACTGGCTCTGCAATTCCTCTTATGTATCTTTTTCTTTCCTGTTGCATAGCAAACCGAGTCTCTGCACAGGGCAGTACTTGTTACATAAGGGAGGTTTGCTCTGTGGTGGGGGATAATCCAATATGCCTTACAGATGAAAACCCTTTCAATTCTCACTACCCTGTCATGTAAGTGCAATCAGTATCATGCCTGTTTTTCAGATGAGGACACTGAGGCCAGAGCGATTACATACCACACAGCTCTTAAGTGAGGATATGGATTTGACCCCAGGCAATCTGGCTCTGGAGCCTGCATTCTTATAACTAGGGCTCTGCTGACTATGCATTCTTACTATGGAGTTTCCCCCATAGCCAGGTGTAGCAGTCCCTTTTCTGTTGCTATAATGAAGTATCCAAGGCAGGCTACTTATGAAGAAAAAGGAGGTTTATTTATCTGAGTATTGGAGGCCAAAGGTCCAAATACCAGAGTGCCAGCTCTATGACATGTGGCACAGTACTAAAGAGGAAGCCAAAGAGGCTTATGACAGCCCTCTCTTGGGAACTGACCAGGGTTGAGCGAGGACATCTGGATCTTTCCCAAGGACATGCCCCTAACCTGAAGTTCTCCCGTGAGAGCTGCCTCCTTTAGCTTCAGCACTGCCGCTCCCAGCACTG